CCGGGGCAGCCGGGGCAGCCGGGGCCCTGGCTGAACGCACCTGCTTGTTTCCTCCAGGAAAGGCTGCTTCACCCTGACACTGGCCGTTCAAAAAGTTCCCAGTTTACATTCCCGAAGCCCACTCTTCACACCAAGATTAGACTGGACTATAAAACATAAAAGAATACTTGTGAAGAGTCTGTTTCTTAGTTCAAGCAGACACACGAGACCAAATGGGCGGCTCCTGTCCGGAGGCAGGATGAGAAGGCAGGAAAGGACAGGAACTGGTTGGATGGACACGGGAAACCAGGGATGGAAAGGGGGAGTGTACTGTCACATTGTAGGGACTGCAGCTAGCGTCACATGACAATATGTGTACGAGAGATTAAAAAAAAAAAAAAAAGTTCCCGGTTTAAAACCGTAACACTGCTCTCTAACTGGAAAGGACCCTGCTGTCCCATGTCTGGAGGGGCTTCCTGTGGCCACGCACTGGTCCTGAGTGAGCCTACTGAGCTGTCCGCGACAGCAGTGCTCCCTCCTGCAGGAGGCTGTTCTGGCCAAAACTTCCCCACCTGAGAAGCTGTGGCCAGTCAGACCCGCTCACCAGGCTTGGATTCTAAATGTAATGGGTATGCTTGGACTCTGCACGTGGGATGGGAGCTGCTCCGCACATCACAGCAAATCTCAAAGAAAACACATGCCCCCACCCCCCCCAGGATAACAGTTAATGCGACTCTTACCTATAAAATTCCTGAATCTGTACTTATCCTATTGCTGGTTTGTTCCCCTAAGTAAGATACTTAGGAAATAAATGCACTTTCTTTTCTACTGACTAATACAGAAAATCAAAAGTTTCAAAACCATGTATTATTCAACTCTCAGGACAACATCCCTCTAAGATGTAATTTAGGTGCCAATCCAAGTTTCTCTCCGTCTCATGGCGCTTCATTTGGTTCTAGGAGCGCATGACCTGCCCCCAAGCGCTCCAGATATGGTGCCCTGCTCCGGACAACTCCACTGCCCTTTTCATCCCTGCCCACCCAGGACTAGGCCAACAGTTTTGAGGTGTAATTTCCAAGAGACTACAATTAAGTTTTAAATACTATTAAAAGTTGTTGTTGTTAACTGCTGTCTTGTCGATTCTGACTCCTGGCGATCCCGTGTGTGCAGAGCAGGACTGCTCCGTGGGCTTTTCAAGGCTGTGGTCTTTCGGAAGCAGATTGCCAGGGAGGTCTTCTGAGGTGCCTCTGGGTGGGTGCTTTTGAGTTAGCAGCCAAGCGCTTAACCATTTGCGCCCCCCAGGGACCCCTAATATGAAGAGTAATAACGTTAAATAAAATAAGGAATCCAAATGTGGACTCTAAAGATTTGTGTAATTGAGTGTTCTGACTTCATAGTCTCTTCTCTGAACGTACAAGAAACATGTACAGAACTCCAAGCACAACACAGCAGAGACAAGCTCTCTGACACGCGCACAAGTCTTCCCAACCAGCTTCTGAAGGCCCCCTTCAACTGCGCAAAGTGGGGGGAACAGTCCAAAATCTCTCAGCAGCATCAAGGAAACAATTTCAAAGCACAGGGCAGCATAAAGCCTTTAAATACTGCCAGGAAAAAGCAAGTGAGACGGAAAACTCCCAAAGAGGTCAAGAGCACAGTCAGTGTCGCGGCGCTGTGCAATTTACATAATTTATAACAGGGATGGGAACATCCCAGCTCCCTGGGCATCTGTATATAACTTCTCCTTCCCAGAGGGGAAGGGATGTCTCCCACGATAACCAGCAAGCAAGCATCTCGGTGCCTTCTGGAGCTTTTCTAAATATATCCCTTACAAATGCTTCTTTAAAAAGGGAAGAACTGTGGCGTAGCTGACATTCTGTCTTCAAACTCAACATCACTTCAACAGAGAGAAACCTCCTAGCTCAAAGGAGCTCAGCTGCCTGGGTTTTAGGGCACCTCTTCCAGGTGGTGACACAGTTCACCAACTGAGAACCCCAGCACCCCTTCTGTCACAGCGGAAACAGCTATCCTCTCCCGTTATGTAATAATTCCTCTCAGACAAAGCAACATCAGGGCACCGCAGAAGGCCACCAGGGCACTCCAGCCGTTACTGAAATCTTCTTCCGCGAATTTCACTGTTTAAAACTAAACGAACAGGTTTCCTACCCTGTAAGCATTCATTACTCCGGAAGGAGCCACTGTTCAGAGGAGAGCGCCAGGATACGAGGTACAGCCCCCCTCCAGGGTCCCTCGGGTCCTCCACGACCTCCGGCGTGGCATCACTTCTTGTCCCTAAGACAGTTCATGGCTGTAGAGCCCTGGCACAAGGTGAGGACTCAGCAAATCTCAAAAACAAAATCTGCCCAAATCTCCCAAGGCGCGATTACCTATCAACACAGAGCAAGAACGAGGGTTTCCCGGCACTGCCTCTTGCCGGCGGCGGCGACCAGGACAGGGCCAGCCCCTCCACGTTCTCCGCAAAGTTAGAAAGTCACCGCGACTCCTGGTCCTGCTGGCTCCGCGGGGCACAGCGCAACTTCTACGCCCCCTCAAACAACATTTTCTTTCTTTTTTCTTTTTTTTAACACTAACTCTCGAGCGCTCCGCGAGCACCCTGCAAAACAATGTCTAGAGATCTGTTGGTCAGACTGAGGACCATCGGAAGCTTAAGGGACTCTACGTTTGCACAGTTCCTCACTTTCCCTTTCACACCCAACTCAGGGTTTTTAAAGCTCATCTTGGGTGCTGCGGAAAGCGAGGGGCAGCCCGGGCCGGGGTGGCGTGAGGGCGCCCCAGCCCAGCCCCGCACTTACTGTTGTACTGCACCCCTTTAGCGAAGCGCCTCTGCAGCGCCTGGTTCATGGACTGAAGCCCGGCGGGGATGTTCCTGTCCCGGCCCGGAGCCTGCTCCGACCCCACCAGCTTCTTCAGGGCGGAAAACATCTTCCCGGCTCGGACGCCCGAGCCCGGGCGCGGCCGGCGAGCTCAGCGGCGGCGGCGCGAGG